TATGCAAAGAGTCCTGCTTTTAACTAATATAAATAAGAAGAGACGTAAATTTAATTTTTCGAAATTTCATAAAATTAAGTAAGTTCGGTTAACAGATGTAAAAAATATTTTTACATCCACAAAAAGAAGTTTAAAAAATCATTTCATTTTTGAATAATTCCTGCAAATTTCATTAAAATTGGACAATTATTTGAATTTTTGCAATAATTTTCAAAACAATGTGTTTTTAACGCTCAAAATGACTCTAAAAATCACTAGAAACGCTGACGAAATCCCCCCCCCCAAATACAAGATTTTTAACTAAAATGTTTAACGTGATAGAAAGGATTTAAAAATCTAAGATAATCAAAAATATTTTTCCTCTTAATAATAACATAAATATATTGACAATAAAACTTTGTTTTTATCAAATTTGGGGCCTGTTTTCATCATAGCATGCTCTTTTTTGGAAAATGTTTGGAGGTACCAGCATATATATATATATATATATATATATATACACACACACAAACAAACACATATATAAATATACATACACACATACACAAACGAATATATATATATGTCCAAACAGGTTTGATTAAAAAGAACCGTCATGTGTAACGGCTATCGGGAACGATGCCGCACAAAATGAATGCGATTTATATATTCTATTTTTATTTTTAATGGTTACGCTAGGACATATCAAACCTCCAGCTTACAAAAGAATACCAGACTGCAGACAAAGTAACTATAACATAGACACCACATAGGTTCTTGATAATGACTGCAACAGTCGAAAGTACTTGTACAAAAATTACAAAATATTAACTTCGGACAGATTATATGCAACTTCGAGCACAATATCGAACACTATCCGAAAATTGGAAACATAATAAATCAGACAAACCTTTTCGGTTCTTTGATTAATCAAAGTTGTTTAGATGAATACTTGCTGCCTAAATATAACTTATTCAAATATAGACACACACATGTGTGTTTGTGTGTTTAGGTAGCATATTTTCATTCAGACTGGCTTGGTTAACTAATTTAGACATACTGTCAGTTTATTTTTGTTTTAATCTTTTCGAGTCCACGAATCAGTTTCTTGATAGCTGTAGAATATTAAAAATGCACAAACCTAACTTCTCTTTCTGACCTATCATATCCCAAATCCCACTCTCTGTTTACCAACTGACTAAAGTTATTAAATCAACTAATTACACATTACAAGTCCAAATAAATAAAACATAAAGTCAACACACGAACTACTACAAATCCTAAAAAAACAAAACAAAACAAAACAAAAAAAAACAAGTCAGGGAAACGGTGGATATAATCATAAACGATATCTAAAACAATACATTTCTCTCTTTATTAAAAATTTGTACTGATATTTAATAATAAACTACTCTTGATGTGCACCACATAAGTTCCTTTTTATGATAGCATCGGTATATGTTCCGTTCTTGGGCCAACGTTTAGCAATTTCTACATGATTAACTTAGAAAATAATGTACTTAATGCCACAAAAGACCCCCATTTACCTAAGATATATAGATGACATTCTTATTTTAGTCAAACAGATAAATGGAATACAAAAACAAAATTTAAAAACTCCGTATTTAAGTTCACGTATGGAATTAACAAGGGCAAAAAATCTCGTTTCTTGATGCATTGATAGACAGTGATAATAATAATAAATTTACTGCCTCTCCATATAAAAAAAAAACAACTAACATAAACACGTGCAATCTAAACTATATATGAGTACTCTTATGTAGCGATGGAATCATATTTTTAAAAAAATAATTATAATATAGGCTCTATTTGTGTATTGAGCACTGTTTTTTTTTTTAAATAAGACAAAAATACTAAAGAACTTCAGATTATTAAGCTAACGGTTCTTTTCTATTTTTCTATATATTTGCACATACTTACACACACACACGCGCGCACACACACACACACACACACACACATATATATATATATATATATATATATATATATATATATATAAACTTAACCCATGGAACTAGTACATACGATCCATGGCTAAAGATGCCGGAAAAATAGTCGGTTCCCTGTATTGTACAGGCCTCTTCCCGTTAACCTTACCAGAACTCTAGCAGAATGAATATGGAGTGAATATGCCATATATGTGTAAGAGCTGCACAGTTTTGTCTTTCAAGTCTCAATAGTTCAGAAGCGTTTCCGCCTCCTTGTGGGTGATGAATTATTTTCGATCCTACAATCTCATCCCCACAAACGAAAGGTCGCAAGCCTTTTGCTCCTCTATCGTTATTTCCAGATCTAATCTTCATGGTGGAGATCCTCCATACTACGTATATTACACCAAATCGCACTCATTCCCTTCAGATTTCATTGGAGAGATTAAGTTATACTTAAGCAGCTTCTTCCCACGAACTGCTGCTTTGTGGAACCAATTCCCAAAAGAATGCTGTTTGTGTGTGTGTGTGCACTCGCGCATGTATATATATGTATGTATATAATGTATATAGATGCACATATAGTCACCAGAAACCTCACCAATATCAAGAATCTTTTGTATATGAGGATTTCGTAATGGCATGCTCGATCTGCACTGGGGTGTGCAAGTCTAAGTCGGGCCTGATAAGGCATATGAAAAAGGCACATTAGATGTAATGATGATCAAAGTCAACTTCCACCACCCAGAAATGATTTGATATGGCAGATATGTGACAAGAGATGCACATCGATGACTGGCTTTATGAGCCACTGTCGTTCACACAACCGATGAATGTAGTGTTGTGGGGGTGAGTTTAGCTGAAGGGCAGTATATATCAGTGATGGTCATACTCGTTTTGTGAGTCGACAGCCACTACACACACACACACACACACACACACACACACACACACACACACACACACACACATATATATTTACACACACTCACACACATATATCTACACACATATATAGAAAGTTATACAAACACACATATACAAACATTTATATGCTCACACATAAATGAGTTTCTTGATTTCTAGATGCTATATTTGTTATGGCTTTGCAAACAGTCTGTTTTAAGGTTTTTGAAGATAAAGAACAGCGACTAACATTTCTTTAAAGGAAGCGCATTGTGGTGACGAAAATGCTTTTCTCTGTTACATCATTGCAGAGCGATTCTTGAGAATGTCGGAGATATCTGGCTTTATGAACGAATTTCCATTTGATTCAGAATAGAAAATATTTAATTATCGCAGGTTTTAATAATTTATGAAATTTTTCTTCGCGGATAAAGTAAATTCGGAAGTTAAATTACGTGAGTCTGAGTTTGAGGAAGTGATAGATAAATTCTGGTCAATCAAATCTTTTGATAAGGAAGATATTACTTTTTAGATGTCCTAAATGATACCGGATTTCTACTCTTAATGACCGACTTCTGACTTATATTTATTTCACCAAGTACGGTCATATAAATGAATGAAAAACAATGTTTAAATCTACTGACGTCTCTCGTTCGCTCTGTCAGGATTTTCTCCTGTAGCACCTTCTTTGTATTAGAGACAATTCCGAGAAACCTGATTGTTACATGGTGGGCCATGGAATGTTGAGGCAGCTAACAACCTGAAAACTTTATTTTAGATTTTGCATTAAAACCTGCTTCTTCATACATATTTCATAAAAGAAAAAGAAATAGGAAATAGATAGCGGTATGTTTGTGCTGGAGTATATCTAACGTTTAAGGCTTACAAATCTGTGAAAAATTTTGTTTAGACTTGAATAATTCCAGTACCATTACTTTAAGTTTAAATTCATTTTCTTATTGCCACTAATTAGACTTAGAAAAAAGGGATACAAGTTCGTGTCTCGCTGAATTTATTTATATTTCCGATAACTAGTCGAAATATAATAATTAACAACAATAAAATTTTAGATAATATTAATAATGCTATGGTGTGGATTCGGTGTGAATGAGTCTTTTAATGTTAAACTTTTTATCGATTTTCATAATCAAATTAGAAGATAACTAAAATTGATTACAGACGAAAAGAAAATAGCTACACAATCATTTCAAATACGACATTAAACACGAAAAAATTGGTAAGTGCATATATTGCATATAAACACATTGTTTGATGACATGAACAAACATTAATGTAAAAATTGAACAACATTTAATAATTTGATTGCTATTTTTCGTTTACTTTCAATTCGACTTTGTTATTTTATTTCATAATAAAATTTATTTCAAATGATAAGGGTACATATGATTATTTTCACTGTGTAATATACTAGGTTGGTGTCAGTTTATAATATATAAATCGTTTTTTTTCCAAAATATCGATTTACAGTATTTAAAATTTCTTTCAGACTTGATTTGCTCGAGGTACAGTGAAGAAGAAAGTTTGGTTGTAAATTATTTTTTTAACTAACAATGCAACATTTTACAAGCGCCATATTAAAATTAAGCACCATATTAAAATTTTCTTAATATATTTCTCTTTTTCTGTTACGCTTTTTACTCCCCGTTTATCTCATATCTTTTCCTCTTGTTTCCTCCTCTTCACTATATATTTCCTTTTTCCATTTGATCTTCCTCGAGAAAAGAAAATAGAACAAAATATCGTGTCATCTGCTTCGGTCAGGTGGAGTCTTTTGTTCTCTTTGCCGTTGAAGGGTCAGATTGTGTTGAAGATAACTGCAGACCTGATATGCGAGAAAGGCGCAGTCTCTGTTCAATTCAGGTGCGAATAAAAAAATGGAAAGTGGGAGGGAATCTTCACACCCTGGCGAACCAGTTTTTGCTGCAAGGCGCCGCATGCCTGCTTTAAATATCCCTCAAAATAACCTCTTGCTTACAGAGAGAAAAAAAAAAACACTGAATAAAAAGTTTAAAAATAAAAGCCCCAAGGAACAAATGCTGATTTAGAGCAGCAGAAGAATAAGGAAAGGAAATAGGGTAAAGAAAAAGAAAATAGGACACAAAGTGTGTTAGAAGAGAGTGTACTATGATAAAAAAGAGAAGCTTATACAGAGAGAAAATAGGTGAAAGGGAGCATAGCTTGATGATTAAAAAGAAATATAAGTGTTATAAAAAAGAAAGAAGTTAGAAGCCGATATGATGAAAGGAACGACATACTGAAAGATTACAAAACATGGAAGTATAATTAGTGGAAGATTTCAGTGAATAATACTGTTTTGCAGCGAAATTTTCAAAGAGTTTTGAAAAAGTGAAACAAGAGACAAACCAGTACACCTTTAAACTGTCACAACAAAAATGTTGATTTTAAAGAAATTTAAAAATAACTTGATACCTTAATATTATATTATTATCTCACAATAGTATACGTGGTCGATTAAATGAAAGATAGACAGTTGTTATGCTATTTCGTTTTTTTAAATAATGACATACACTACGCAATCAGGCGCAAAAGCAACACATTGCTAAAAATAATGACATAATTAAATGAACTAACGACACAACATTGTCTTTGAAAATATGAAAACAAGTTTCGAGTGTGAAAGTAATTAGAAATATATACTAGGCCCATCTAAAGATAAAGCACCCTTTTTGAATAGCTTACGCGTGGCCTTTCTGCTACTTGCTAACTAATCAGAGGACTGCGCATATCCTGTGAACTTATGTAGAAAACTCCATTGGGTAATATGTTACCGTTGCTTTCACAGCAATGTTTTGCCTCAAACTTCGACATGTGTGAGCAGAAACTATTCCACTGAAGGCTTTCGGATATTATTGTTAGCGACACTTTAAACTTGGCATTGAATCTGTTGAAAACTATTTCTGTCTCTGAAAGCCTTCAACAAGTAAAACACCTGAAAGAATTTGAACACATGCGGATAGCCGTGAAAGGAAATTATTAACTGATAATACGGAACTTGGAATATGTGGGAAATCGGGAAATCACCTGGAAAGTATCTCAACCAATTTAAATACTTTGACTGTTCATTCTTCGCCTCTTGTTCAGTGTTTTGTTTTGGCAAAACACCGCATCATTCATGTTTGTCAGCCTCCTATGTAGTTCAGATTTCAGCCCCGTGAACTACCTGTTTTTTCCCAAAGCTAAAATTACTGTTGAAATGTTGGTGAAAGCAATGTTGGACGGGGTTAAAGAGAACACAATGAAGTAGCTGTAAGCGATCTCGAATGAAGACTTTAGAAACTGTTTTGAAGATACAATGTACTAAGCCATAAGAGGGTATAATTCGAAGAAGATTAAGGCACCATTGTCCACAGAAAACCACTATTTGTTAATATTAAATGGCTAGATCATTTCTTGACAGACCTTTCAAATGTTATAAAAAATTTTAAAATTTGTTAAAATTTGATTTCGCTGGATCAATTACGACTGAATAGTGAGTTCGATCTTAACCTGAGGCCCCATTCTTTCGGCTTGTGCTGCATCTAAGTTAAGCTTAATAAATTACTATAAAAACTATTGTTTATTCAACAAAGCCTTGTACTTTAGGTAAATAAAATTCTATAACTCTCCCTGTAGATATATTTTTCATGTTTAGAACAAAGGATATAATTTTTTTCAGGTTTGCAAGAACTTTAAGAATCCAAATGTGCAAATGAGTAGATCATGATGGAATTTGTCATGAACCTCATACTCTCCCCAGATAGGGAGAGAGGGACGAGAGAGCGATAGAGATAGATAGATAGATAGGTAGATAGATAGATAGAGAGAGAGAGAGAGAGAGAGGGAGAGAGAGAGAAATCTAATGCTCAGTGATGTCCATAATTAAAAAAAAGACAAAGCAGAACTCAGTTACATCTCTCCTATATCATTTTTTATCCTGTCTTTTCCACTTTTCGTTTGGTGCACCCTTATCTTTTTCCGTATTTATTTTGCTACTGTTCTTTTGATTCCATATTCATTTTATTTCTTTATGCTTTTTCCTATCTTCTTTCTCGCTACTCATCGATTCCCTCTCATTTCTTTCTCTTCTTTCTCACATCTTGCTCGATTTCTCTTTCCCTTCGAATTCTCACTTCTCTCTCATCGATTTTATCATCTTTTCTTTTTAATATTTTATTTCTCTATAATTTATTCTTTTGAATTTTTATATGAAGTTTTTTTCTTTTCATAATACCTCGAGATGTCTACTCGACAGATATACTTGCTGCTATTACCTCCACCCAATCTCTGTTATCCTAGCCCATTTTTACTTTTAGAACCAAACCCGCTTCTGGCATCTTCCGGCAGACCAGTATTACTTGTTTGTGGTTTTTGCCGACATTTGTTCTTGTTATTACAGGATTACCATCTGATAAACAGATTGTCCGCATAATTCAATTATAGTGCCGAAGCAAACCTCGACGGCAAGTGTAAGCGACTTTAGTGAAGAGAGATATGAAACGTCGAAAATGAACGTTCAGTTAGTAAATGACAGTCAGCTTCATTAGAAAGACTAATTACTTAGAAGCAATACCGGAAGCAATTACTGATGCCACAGCCGCACTATTAACACTTAGCGACATGGAAAATAGAAGAAAATAAATAACATATTTGGCATATTTTTAAAGTAATGTAAATTGCATCTCGAATGCAAAAATAAATGTGTAGTTTATGGAGAAGATACTGAAAGTATTTGTTTCAATGTGTCCAAATTTGTTTACGAAGTGACAATATTTGCTGCTTAATAACGGAAAAAACATGGTCATCGTTTAATGTTGTTGAAAGTAATATATCCTCAATGTCTTCTTTTATTGATATAGCACTATAAAGGAGTATCAGCCCATTAATATAGATCTCCCTTTGGAATAGACAGAAGTAGCAAGGCTATCCTAAGGGAGCTGGAGATTTGTTATCGGTGGCAGTAATCTTAACAATATAAGATATGCAGATGACACTGTGTTGATGGCTGAAACGGAAAGAGAACTACAGGGCCTCGTAGACAGGGTGGTAACAGAAATCGAGAAAAAAAAAGGCTAGCATCAACTGCAAGGAGACAGAAAGTATGGTCACTGGCATGCGACTTCGAATTTTAAATATATGAAGTATTTTAATAGAGGATGGAAAATGCAACACTAAACTTCGAACATGTATTGGACGAGGGAAAGAAGCATTCCAAAAGCTAAGCAAGGTACTGAGAAACAGAAAATTGCTGTTTTTTTTTTTTTTTTTTTACTGCTTTTCGGTCCTATGCATCTCATTCGTCTCTTGTTTCCAAGGTTATACCTTCTACGTGTGGTAATAAACTTTTTCTCTTCGGGCAATCTTTCTCCCACTGTCTCTTGCATCTCCAGAACACCACCTCGTGCACCACGGGTATGTAACTGAATCATCCGTCCCGCAGTAACCAACCCTTCCTCTGAGTCGGGTCAGACTGCCATAACGTGTCCTCATTTCCCGCAGCCGAAACGGAGGCCATTTCTTATCCTAACCTTGATATTATGGTCGGAAGGCGTCCTTAGTTCCCATGATCTCTCTCTCTCTCCTATATATATATATATATATATATATATATATATATATATATATATATATATATATATGATAGGACAAGGAACAAATGGGAAACATTTATGAATCTAGTATGTTTCACTTTTATTCAGTTTTGATATGGAGAAAAAAAGAGAAAAATTCTGGTATTTTGTCTTGGCATTTGTCTTGTCAAGCAGAGTTCATTCTCCGATGAAGTTTAATAAAAACGAAACATGTTAGATATATAAATGTTTCCTATTTGTTACTTATGCTATCTATTGTTCAGCGTTCACTGCCATAAAATCCAGCACTCTTTTCTTTGTTACTAACGAACATTTTCTTTTTCTCAGTACTTTGCTTAGCTTTTGGAAGACGTCTTTCTCTCATGTAATGCCTGTTCGGATTTCGGCGTCCAATTTTCCATCGCTATTAAAACATTTCCCAGATATTTAAACTCTTGTATATTTCTATGTTTATATCTCTAATTTAAAGTTTGCATCTTGGGATTTTTCTTTTGCTGACAACCATATTTTCTTACAGTTGATGCGTCGTCCATTTTTACTACCTAAGATGTTTTATAGTTTTTCTCACCGTGTTTGCCGTCTAAACTGCCATTTGCGTATCTTATATTGTAAAAATTAGCACCCATAGGGTCCCCAGCTCCCGGTGGATAGCTTCGCTTACACACCTTTTTATTTATGTGTATCTACTAACTTCATTTTATCCGTATTCAGGCGGGTTGCTTCCATTATAAGTTCTGGATTATTCTAACATCCTTTCCATATAGATCTAGTTTTCCTAACAGTCCCAATAGATCCTTGTCAAATGCTTTTGCGTAATTTATAAAACATAATTCTACCTCCTTCAACCTTTCTATTGATCTCTCCGATATTATTCTAGTGATAAATATCACATTTGACAGAAGTCTGTGATGAAATCCGGCAAGTTGAACGTTGTAACCTCGCTATATTAGAACTACCGTTTGACTTTCCGGAAAACACTAAATTTCCTCCTATACTATCAAAGCGAAGAGACCGTGTATGTGGAGACTGCTAATGAAAGAATTCTCTCAGAAGAAAGCTAGCAACACATCCGAACTACTGGGTCCGGTGAAACAGGTACATTTTCAGTAAATGGAACAGAGCTTTAACAACTGCACAAGGATAAACACAGCAGGGATGGAAATAGTAATTTTCGTCCTGTAACTTCAAGTCAAACTCCATCTTACGTGGAAATACTTTAATGGTGAGACCACTTCGAACAGGTACTTCGTCTATACAGACGATGTGTAACAAGAAATAACGATATCGACGAAGTCTGTAAATAATTCAGGAGGAATTAAGCAGTAGCAGGGGTCAAGACAAACCGTAGTAAGTTGGCTTGCGATTAGGTTTGCAGAGATAAATTTCTTTCCAGGGTGAATCACTTGGACGGACGGGCCATGAAAGATAATTGGCGTTTGTTTTGATGGGAAGTTTGGGTGGGGGAGCCGATGCTGGAATTCATCTGTGGTCACTGAAAGTCTTAAAGGAGAAAGAGGAAGTATGTGCTTCGTACATCTAATACATCTTCGCTTACCGACGCTCTGTACTTTCACATCCAAGAACTAAACGAGATTAGTTTGAGTCTTGTACCACCTTTGACGAGTCAACAAGTTTTCTACGGTGCTATGTGATATCTGTTATCTCAACTCTTCTGAAGGTGGTCTAGGTATTCGTCAGATCTGCATTAGTTTCCTGGAACACAATCTGGAAAAAAGGAGTGTACGAGAGCCTTTTACAATTTTGAGAGGTCTACCCTCAGACGAGTGGGAGATCTTTCGTTTGCCGAGTGCTTCTATTATATTTTGGAGACATCTTACAGTTTAAGACTGGCATCTTTGAAACTGGCTACTGTTAATGAAGGTATTATATCAATTGTTAGTGAACTTCTGGTTGAAATTTCCCAATAATAATAAGACATAACCCCTTTGGCTGATGTTGCCGAATAATCTCTCGGTCAAAAAAAGACTCTAGCCAGACTATGTACGTTGCGGTGATTGAGACATGCATTCTTTTCACTTCAACCTTGTACATCTATTGCATGCAAGATTGAAAATTGTATAGTTCAGTTTATGGAATCACTGAGTATCGTGATTTCGACGACAAAAATAGTTTTTTGGATTTAAGTTCTCTTCCCAAATAATATTGCTATTTAAAAACAGTCAAAACTAGGACGAAAAAGAAGCAGTTGTCTTAGCTACATCTGGTCAAAGGTGAGTGTGTATCGCACGCATGTGTCAAGTGAGAACCACTGCGTGGCATTTGGATATAGGCTAGGAGATTTAAAGCTTCTGAATTGTCAACCCAGTCGGTGATAGGTTAGTCTAGGTTTTATTTTTTAGTCTATTAATTTTTTTTTAGCTATCGGGTGTATATTGATACTTATTTTTGTCTGGTTTGCTTTAGTTTAATCCGCTCCTTTCTTAAATAAGTAGGGGATTCTTTTCGAATTAATTTTTCCTTTTATGTTATTTGTATTTGCTATTTCACCTGAATGAATGTGTGTTGGTGTGATTGTTTTATTACAATGTAATCCCGCACTATTATTATCGACTAGTTATCTATTTTGCGGCGTTTCTGATACGAATAACAATTTTCTTTTGCTTTGTAAATATTTTATTAATGGTAAGGTAACATTCTTTTAATTGTATATAATTGATTTCGCAAAGAAATTGCGGATATAGGCTTAATTAGGACTCATCGGAGAAAGTGTGACATGATGGTGTCTGCGAACGAGAAGAGTAAATGTGAATTTTTAGTGGAAGAATTTTTAAGCGAGACAAATGGGTCAGTTATTGAGATTAGAGGTTAAATGATAAGAAAATTATGACCATCCCTCCCTTCCCCACTTTAGGCTTTTCTGCTAAACTTTTTTGTATTGAGGTGTTAACATCTTCTGCTGATAACTTCTATTCTTGACGCATCTGGAATACCTTTATCTGACTTTCCACTGAGTCTTTATTGAGTGTTATGCATGTAACTCCGTCCATGGTTTCTGTTAACATTTCTAAACTGGATTCTCACAAATTATGTGGACTCGATGGTATCCCTGCAATAATCATTAAGAAATGTGCTCCTAAATTGGCTCCTGTTCTTTCCAAACTCTATAATAAACGCCTTTCTGCATCTTGTTTTCCTGCTTGTTGGAAATCCATTTCTTTAGGTCCAGCCTTAATAACTCAAGCGAACCATTTGACCCTTTTAACTATCGGCCTATTAGCCTTCTACCTATTTTTGACAAAGTTCTAGA